CTTCCTAAGGGAGGTGCGTTTGTGGCTGGTGAGTTTTTTGCAGGGACCAGTGTTTTACCTGGCTTCCTCTCTTGGGTGCCTCTCATTGGAGAGGCAGTAACGGGCCCCGCAGGGTGTAAGGAACAACTTGCAGCCCCTCCGGCCCGCTGCATGTGTGAAACCCGCTCTGAGACAGAGCACGGCAGGAAGCCCTAGGCCTGAGTGTGTCCATGAGGCGGCGGCGGCRGCTGCTGCTCCCTGCGGTGTCACTGGCTGCGGGGCAGGAGGCTCTGCAGGAGGTTCTGCTGGTGCACAGCGCCCAGTATTCACCAGGAGCACCATTACTGTTGTGTGCCAAGGTACTTCTTGCAGGGAAGGTAAAAATGATCAGTCAGGCTCCAGGAACCAGCAGCTGGTTTAATATCATCGTTACTAGAATTCTGGAAGCTAAGAATGGAAGGATATCATGAGTTTAAGCTAGACCCTGAGATCCTGAAGGTGCAAATACGCTAAGAACCAAAGCAAGGAGACATTCCCACAGCTGACTCCAACTGCTCCTTTCCTTCAGCAACTGGACACGTTTCACAACAAGGCTGTTATTCACCATCCACCCCCACTGCTGTTTCACATGCGTTCAAAGCATTGATCCGTATGCAGTGTGAAAGACGTAGCATGTAGGATTTGTTCCTGAAGAAATTAAACTGGTTCTTCTCACAGGTACTTTGTGTGCCTTGGATGTGCAGAGAAAACCCTGCCAGGCTGCAGCTAGGGGTTGCAGTAAGGAACAGGGCTCGTCAAAGAGGCCTTAGTTTAATGACCGTGAGGGCCTGAAGCCTCAGGATGTTATTTATACGGTGGCTTTTCTTAAGGACTGTAACTGCATGAACTGTGGCAAAAACATGCATTTTGCTGTAAGTTGCTTCTTGCATTTAGCTTGAATTGTGTCTGAGATCCTGTCTCTTCTTTGTATTGTTTTAACCTCACTACCTTATTTCAATCTGCTGGTCCTCAAGACATCCTGGAATCGTAATGGGGCTCTGACAGCTACAGGAAGAAACAACTATTACAGTTGTCTTTTTTTTTTTTTTTTAATTTAATACGTTTTTTACCTGTTTATGTTGAGCACCCACATAAACAAGCAAAACTAACTCAGTCTGCAGGGCAGAGAGGTGGAAGTGCAGTCAGATACTTGGGGCATAATCTAATATTCAGACTCACAGAATTTTCATCTGTCAGCCTTCAATATTACTTACAGCAACGACAACTAAACAATTTCAGGGTAGAGTGCTGTTTTATAGGTACTGCTCTGCGTTTATTTATGCATAAGACAAGAACATATTTGAGCTTGCTTTGAGCACTGAATTTGGTTTGCTCATGACTATGTATTTTTCATGCATGTTACTCTGCAGGTAGTTCTCCTCATAACCTTTCAGGCCTTGGTCTGACAAAGCTTCCTGAGGTATTACTGCTTTTGACAGGCAGTAATCAGTGGAATTTGGGCTTATGAACTTGTTTCTTGGCCCTTGTTTCTGTTTTACCTTCAGGGTTACTGTTTCGACCACTTCCTTGACTTCTTTATGTTCCTATTTTCTGAATGTTTCAAATCTCTGTATGCAGCTCTGCATTTTTTACCTACAYGCTTTGAGGACACTTTTGACAGGCTTTTAACACCTGGATTGATTTGTTTGCATCTTCCCCTCTTACTGGACACTATGCTTAARAAAAACTGCCTGGAACAGGATTTCATTCTTATTTTGGGGGATCTTGCTGGCCCCTTCACGCTGGGTGTTGTGGGCAGAACAAGATGTCACTGAGGTGAAGCAGCTGCAGCCTAAAGGTTGCACAGGGAGCTGTACAAATGCCCTGGGCACCTTTGGGCAGTGTCCTTGCACAGCGAGGGTGCCACAGCCGACACTGAGCTTACATCTCAGCAGATGTGACCGCAGGAAAGGTTTGCTGGGGGAAACGACATCCTGCATCCAAGTTACCAGGGCTTTGCTTGTTTGTTTGATATTTTTGCATAACAAAATTAGAAACAACAACGAAACACTCTTTCAAACTATTTTCAGATAATTCATAAAGCTACTGTAGTTGTTTCTGTTATTTCCATGGGAGTAGGAGTCAGATCCCATCATAACACATTTGTTTAAATAACAGTTTAAACAAATTCGTGTATGAAGCGCATGCTGCTTGCTTAGCCCCGAGTACAGGGCTCCACACTGAACACTTGCTCAGGTCTAATGCACGCGAAGCAGTACAAGTGGTGGGGAGCAGTGCCCATGAGGGCCTTTCTTTACACTCGGAGCAGCTGTGTGAAGCAGCACCGCTTCTGCACCGTGACAAGGATGGGGCACGTACTGTACTTATTAGCCATATCTCGTGCTTTCAGAATTGTGGCGTGGCTAAAGTTCACCACGCACATAAATGTGAATAAATACCTTTAGTCTTCTGGCCTTTTCACGAGGAATCAGGAATTGTTAGGTTTATTTTATGCCTTAAAAATGGCGTACTGCTTTATGGCATGTTGCTTCCAAATAGATCCATTTCTGGAGAGGATAAACTGTGTAAATAATGAAAGCTGCTGAGCAGCTGTACTGGCACCGGCTGTAAGAGAGAGTCCTTAGGCCACACCAGAAAGGGCGGTAAAGAGGATTTCACCTTGTCATCCAGATGGAAAATGGCACAGAAGGAGTGAATAAACGCTGCCTAGCTCTCCTGGCACTGTTCAGACCTTCCGCAGCAGCAGCAGCCTCCCCAGCTTTGGGCCATCACGCAGACGCTGCTTGCCCAGCCTGCACATAGGACACCCTGATGGTCAGCATGGCCTCGCCTGGCACGGGCTCCCGCCAAAGCGGTGCAGAGGCTTCGGCTGGTCCTCGGGACCGCGCTGCGGGGCTCTCCCTCCTGCAGGGCACTGGTGCAGCACCAGCACGCGCAGGCTCTCCCACAGTCCGCACCGTCCCGGAGGGAACCGCACGATGTGCCTCCTCCTGCATGCAGCCCCTGCTGCTCTCCGCATTCCCCGTGAGCACCGCGCCGTTTCCCCCGCGTTTCGTTAAGTTAGCAGGTTCTCTGCGTTTTGACTCATTGCCCTGGCAGTGCCCGTGATGGCTGCAGGAAGCCTCCATGTGTGGCCCTACATGTGTGACTTGTGGAGTGGCTGCAGGGTAAAAGGGGCCTGTTGGTGAGCAGCCAGGCTGCTGCTGCCTTTCCGTGCAACAGTCACTTTCAGGCGTAGGCCAGGATAATTCCCGAGAGAGCACAGAGCTGTAGCCCACTGTGGCTGGCCCATCTCTCTGTCCTGCAGGCCGGTTTACTGTCATTTACGGTCCTGTGAAGGATATCTGTCCCTCAAACTACATTCGGTTTGTTCAGAATGCAAGAGCTAACTTACTTGGTCCTCAGAAACACATCAGTTCTTTTCAGAAGTGAAAAGGGGCTTTTTCAGTAAGGGAGGCTTCAGAAACAGCAAAAGAGAACAGAAAAAGCAGGCTGAAGACAAGCAAGAACAATATGTAACTTGTCACATCGTTTGTATCACACTATTGGTATTCTATTGCAACATACAATTTGCAGGCCAACGCTGAAAAGAATTGGGGTAATGAAAGTCCTCCTCAGGGGCACGGAAGTGGCATTTGCCAAAAGGAGAGAGGATGTATCGATTCCTCCCTGTGCTCAAACTGCTAAATGGCGTTGACCTTGCACCTAAACAATGCAGCCTCTCGAACTATGGTCCATTGAATGTACGTGTTCAATTCTCTCACACACACACCAGGTTCAAAGGCAGACTACCATCTGCAAGGCCTTGGAAAAGACGTATTTTGAAGATGCCTGAGCAAAGCATCTGCTGGAGAACTGTACCCCCGCCGTGAGAGGGAAAGGGGGGCAAGTCTGCCCGGATATTACTACCGCACGCCCGGTGCCATCATCACTAACGCTAAGCTGGCAGCAAGGCCATTGGGTAAACTGCTGCTGAGCCCTCATCCCCTCTTCTGCTGCACGGGGAGGTAAAAGTAATCGGGCAGCCGCACGCCTAGCACACGGCGGTTTCCCCGGGCCAGGCTCCGGCCGCGGGCGGGCCGGGACCGCCCTTCCCCGCCGGGCTCCGGCCGCGGCGAGGCTCGCGCAACCCGCCAGGCCCCGCGCCGC